ACCATAATATTAAATATAGTTACACGTCGTTAGTATTTAAATGTTTTTTTTTATAAATTATAGACTTTTAATTTATTAAATGTTGTAAAAACTTTAATTGGTATTTTGAAAAAACATAAAAAAACAAAAATTGATGGCCCTACAATTATATTATAATTAGTTTTATTACATAATGCCGTCGATAAAATTTTATAGTTATATTCAAATTCAATTTAATATTATTATCATTATTTTATATAAAAAGAAACTAATGCAGATTTAAAGTTTTTCATGTTTCTTGTCCTCCAATCAGACAATATTATACAATATTATTTGAATAACATAGCTTTTCATTCATTAAAAGTTTTACTTTTATTCTTAAAACTGTCACAATGGCGTTTCAAAAAATTATAATAAATAGCAACAATGATAAAATAAAAATTGTCATTTAAAATAATAATTGAACCGGCAAATAAAGGATGAGATGTGATGTGTTTCTTGCCTTGCACTATCTCTATAAAGTACTTTAGCTAGAGAAAAAACTTCAAAGCCCTGAATGGAACTTAGACCTATTGGGGTGATAATTTTGATCAAAAAGAACGGTCAGACTCTTTGTCCTTTTGTTTTACGACTTATCTCTGTTCTTACGATTCGCCTTACTCCCGCCAATGAGTCATTATGTTCTATGACCCGTGAAATAACCTTGTCCGCCCAAATAGCCTGTTTTTTCCTATAGCTGGATTTTTAATAGCTTTTTACTGTACAAGGTGCTTTCAACTCAAAGTGTGCTTTAACGGTAGGGTGACATGGTATACGGTTCGGCAAATGGCAAATTTATACCGTCAAAATATAATTTCCTCTTATATTATACAGGTTTAATGCAAAACAAAAATTGCAGGCTTAGAAGCATCGGTGAAGATTACAGTTTTTTTTTTTTATTCTTATTATTATTATTATTAATGGTCGCCATTAGAACAGAACGTTATACAATTTTAAAATATGTGTGCCCAAATTGCATAGATCTTGTTGCATACAGATATGTTCAGAGTTCTTGTAAATTTAACCTAAGTATTATTTTTTAAATATTGATAATTTTATTACTGATTTATCAGTGTTAAGTAATTTACCAAAAATAACTTCTCTTTTGTGGCACGTAAATTTCGTTTGAGAGGTAAAAAAAAAATTACTAACATAACTCCGGGGGCGGTATCGTAATAAAATAGCATTCGGATCACGTACATGAAGAAAATTGTATCCCGTAAAAAAAAAACTGCTGTCTGGAAGTCGAAAAGAAAATAAGGAAAGGCACATCGTTTCTTACAATTCCACTGGGCCTCTTTGAACCATTACGATTTCTACCATACCGCCCGTCAGTTCATTGTGCTCAATCAACCGATATACAATTAAACCGGATTTATATTAGTCCTGGTTTCGATGGTAAAGCAATTTTTTGTCAGGCGATGCATACGCACATACACGCACACATACACGTATTATATATTATAGATATAAAGTACCGTGTACACTGTACATATATGAGACGACAAAAATAAAAATAAATAAAGAAAAGAAAAAAAGGAATAAACACACATGTAATGTATAAATATATATGTATACACACGATTGTGAGCATAAAAGTTAGTGTTTTAACGATATATGTTCGAGCCAACAATTTTATTAGACTACCGTGTCTCGTTTAGAGTCCAGTTTAATTTCACCTAGGGATTCATATGCAAATAACACTTGCTGTATATAAATATATATTTGTAAATAGGTATATACATACAATGGTCTCTCAAAGATATTTTCATTCTCGCGTTTCACCTGCAATTATCGTGAACTTTATCCACGCGTTATTAAAATCGCACTTCCAAATAAACGACAACGGTGGAAGTTTAGAAATTTTAAGTGCGTTTACGGAAGACACTTTTCGTCACTAAATACGTGTGTATATATATATATGTATACATTCACTCAATCGATATTAAATTACTCCAAAGAGGTCTCCATGGGTCTTTAAACTGAAATGTCACATGATTCTATATATATATATATGCATTATAAATAACATCGTATAGTTAATAGACAATTTTTTTATACTCTTTGTGTATCCTACATATAATTTCAAATAATACAAGCCATAAGAAGCGTTTTACCATTTTTGTTTGTTAAATACACGTCATTTATAACGAAAGTTTTAATAATTAATACACAATGTTTTCAAAAAATTTTCTATCATTGAATTTGGATATATGTTGTACAATACTTCGAATGTGTACATGTGAAATTTAACAAAAGATAAAACAATAAATATAAATTGAGATTTTCTATTTATAATATATTTATGTTCGATGATACTGGAGAACCAATTTATTATACAACGTATTTAAAGCGTTCCTCATAACGTACATTGCATCGTACTTTTTGTCATTTTAAAGTCTTACATTTATCAATCTTCAACAGCTTTCGACCGTCTTGATGAATACATTCTAATCGATCAGATGTACGCCGATACTTCATATGCGTAATGTACCAAACTTTTTACTTTGATACATTCCAGCTTTTCGTTTCCAAACTTTAACTTTTCGTCGAAGCTATATTTCTACGGAACATAATCTTCACATTTCTTGGTTCAGATTTAATAATTACGATGAAAAATTTCAAAATAAAATGATATAACGTGCAATTTTTGCAGATTTATTCTCACATCTGTGTTTATCAAAAAATCACAATAACGCTTAAATCACTATTTATCATATATATACTCACTGGGGGCTATACACAGTCAACAAACTGAAACTCAAATAAAACAATGATGGTTTAATGAAATCTGAAGTCATATTATAATATGTATTAAAGTGTATTTATAACATTTATGTGAACATACACTTCAACCAGTTCCATTAGGACTTACAATTTGTCCACATAAATTAAATCAGACTTACGGTCGCGATAGAATCTCACAATAGCGAAAATGGAGACAAAAAAAACTCGCACATTGCCAATTTTAATAGGAAAATAATGTGCGCAACAGTGCACGTCATTTTTCACGTAATCTACCACGTTTGTCAAGTATCACGTAATCCCTCGGGATTACACAGCTCTCCGTGTTCGTGTGCCAAAACCAGAGTATCACAATTCATGGAGCATTTTGGTATTAAAGCCCTCGATGTCTCCGACAGCAATCGTACAAACTTTTTATCAGGACGTATAAAAATTTTTTCGTAAAAACATAAACTGCGCGATCGTAAAATAACATAAACATTAAATTTGTATCATATATTATAAAATTATTGAAAACATATCGGTATATTATTGACATAGTATAGCCCAATTTAACAAAACCCACAATAAAATATAATTTATATTCACATTATTTTTTGTTCGATATAATCATATGTAAAAATTTATTTAATTTATCAATAAAAATCATTATCATAGTTAAAAATTGTATCATAATAACTAGTTTGTTTAAAATGTATATATAGCTGGAAATTAAAATTTTAGTAATGCTATTCGTCTAATTTTAATTCAGCGGTTTTAAAATATTATATTTTAATACGTACAAATTAGAACGAAAAACTTTTCATTAGAATTTAAAATATAAAGCAAATACTCTTATACGTTCAAACTTAAATATGATTTATGGGATTTTGGCATTTGTTATTTTTGTCCTTGAGATTAGGTACAATAGTAATTGGTATTTTAATTAATTAAAAAATCCACGAGGATGACTGTATATATAATTTTTACTGATGATAAATTTTGAAAATTCAACGAGTTGACAAATTAGAAAGCCTAATACCCTGGAAATGTTGAATAGTCGGGTTTAGTTGACCTAAACGCAAGAATATGGTTTTCCATCACTTACCTGGAAGTGTAAAATGTTTCTCTCGAGTTAAATAGTACGGTATCCGTAATAAACCGTAATCAGTCATGTCTACTATTACTATAGTCATTTGCGTTTTATTGATTATTTTAGGACAACGCCACAAAACCACGTGTTTTGTTTGGTTTGGAGGATAGTGAATTATTTATACAAATTATATAATCAAAGGCCAGACTAAATATAAAAAATAAAAAAATAATATGTTAATTACTTTAATTAGTAATGTATGCCCATTTTCCACTTTCAAAAAATATTCCTTGAATACATCCAGAATAGTTCTTAATCAATTTAAAAAAAATTCTACTTATACCTACTTCATTTTAGTTCAGTGACAAGTGATAGTAAAAATGTATACAAAAATAAATATGTTAAAATATATCTATTCTGAAATATGATAAAAAAATTAAAATTAAATATATATTTACAATAACACTCTGTATACGTTTGTGTTACGTTATTCGTACATATTTTTTTCATAATTTTTTCAAGGACTCGCATTCATTTTAAATTATTCGCTTTTTCTTATCGAATGCAATAACGTAATACCGTGTTCAATTATAATTTACGTCAAAAAATCAATGTATACACATATATTTTATATGACCTATTTTTTTTATTGTAAAATAAGTATATATAACTCTTTGTTGGCCTATTTCTCATAGAAAAAATTGCAATTAAAATAAATCCCTATAGTAAAACATCGTAAAATTTATAGAAAATCATTGTTACAATAATCACGCAACACGTTTATATTCTATATCACTATTCTGTTTAAAACCACACGTAGTGCGTCAACATTTCTATGAGTCAATCTCTTTAATGGGACGGACAATATTATAGTTAATTAGACTTTTGCAACTATTTAAGTAATACGAACTTAATACACTAATGTATGTTATCATATTCAATGATTGAAAAATTATAGTTTGAACTTTAATTATTGAAATTAAGTCTATATTGCAATATTTTATTGACAAATTAATTTCACAATTTATAGTCAGTAATTGGTTAAATTATGAAATCAAAGAATAGCCACTTCGTTCTAGGATATATTATTCTTAAAACTAGTTAAAATAAATTGTAGTTGTATTATTGTTAACAGTCATTTGATTTGTTCTGTTGGGTTTTATAGAACGAAATATGGGAACCGGACAAGAACCTGAGCAAATCGTTGGTGGTGTTAGATTTGAACAGCGATGGCCGATGTAATCTAACGGTCAGCTATAAGACATTGGCGGCATTCGTTGGCCTTCGGTCATTTAACGTGACCGGGTTCGACCAGGTAATAATCCGATCGCAAGGCATACTTGCCAAAAATGCTCGAACAAACTTTACCGTGACCATCAGCCATGTACGTCAGCTGTTCCTGGACACGAATGCGTTTCATCCGTACGTTGGCACGGTGGACGTACTGGTGGAAGACTGCGATGTGGTCCGACTGGGCAGCGAGGTGGTGTTCAAGCTCCAATCGTTCGTGTTCCGCCGAATAGGCATACTGGACTTGTCCAAGAATACGTTCAAGAACGCGGCAACAGGTTCATCAATTAAAAAGGTAATGACGAAAAAAAAATCTTATACCAGCTATTATAAAATTATACACCTATCTATACTTATAAATCAATGATAATCGTCATGCCCGTTGTTTTTACATTTTCCTGTTCTTCGATAAATCGATATTTTAGCGTTTAGTATGCCAATCGCAAAGGCAAGGTATAATTTCCACTACACAATATGCTTTCATACCATCCTAAATACATCCACCAACCTGTTAACTCGAAATCAACGTCTCGTTTCTTCGCATATTTCCCTTATTTATTACTGTATACGTGTTTTAACTGTTCGTACACTTATTATTATGTTTATCGACCACACTACTACTACGGTTGAATCTGCTGTAGTATTATATAGTCACCTCAGTTGCAATATTGAAATTCATAAAAATCAAAAATGATCATCTGATTTCATTGGGTGTACAACCATATAGTAATCGATGAATGCCTTCTTGGTTATTCACGCTCGTTTACTAAAAACGACCACCATCTCGACCCAACGGTAAAGTAGTTGAAATTTACCGCCCGAAAACTAATTTTAAAGAATTAATGTCGAACAACGACTATAATAATATTAATATATAAATATATTAGCCCTGAAGATTTTACGACGGTATGCGACGGTTACGTGGATATATGGCTTATCATGTTTATAAGAGCTTTAAAAGTTTGAAATGAATTATATAATACAGAGATCATAAATTTTGTAGATTTTTTATGGACCTAAAAGTTTAAAAAAATATATAACGTTGCTAACAGCACGAGAATAATGCATTTTTAAACTAAAATATATGTGTATAATGCTTGGCAATAATTTTTGGAACTCAAGTCCGTGGCGCGACACACGAGTGTTTTTAACAGATACACGATATAATTTCTGCTACTGTTACGGGTGTCAGGTCACCACGGTGAAACGATACGACAGATTAACAGAAAAAAATCGTTAACGTGTCTTTCCCGTGCATCACACGCCGATATAGGTTCTCGATAATAATTGCATCGGTACTGAATTCGACTGTGCTGTCATAATATACCATTTGATTTATATTTTATAACTATTTAATTAATACTTCATATATTTTAATATAACATTGAATCGAATTTCAATCACTATTTACAAAACGCTAGATTAATATCTCCGATGTGCTGCACTATATATATTAGGTAGACGGGGAAGATGCGGTGTGTATTGTATGGTTGACTGTGTAATTAAACGACTATATTTTCGAGTAAGTCAAAGGAATTTTCGATTTTTAATAACATTTTTATATTTTTTACCTATTTTATCATTTCTTAGAGTGATTCCATAATACTGATTTTGAAAGCAAAATAAACTTATGTACACGTTCCGGCATAATACTAGTTTGAGTTTTACTCCGACAATAATTTTGAAAACATATTTGAATTCATTATCAAGTCTTTAAAATGTTTAAGTCAAAACGAAATTAAAAAAAGATAAAAAATTTAATTTTTTCCATAGAAATTTCTAAAAATACAAGATTTATTTCCCAAATTTCAATATGCTTTTTTTTCTTATTATAGAAAATAAAATAAAATACTAAAACACGTATATTATTTTATATCATTTACTACAAAATTACGTTTAAATATATAAAAAAAAAAAAATTACAGACATAGCTATATTAAATAAATACTTAATTTTTAAACCTGTCTTTATTGTTTATAATTTCAAAACAGATGATATTGGAAGATCTAACCGCCAATAGATTACCATCATACGCGTTCTATACATCTATCGATGTTCTATCAATCACTAACTGCAAGTTTGATACAATCGAACGAAAAGCATTTCCGCTCAATGATATTGGAAACGTGACGCTGACCAACGTCACTGTGAACCTGGTGGAAAGCGAAGCGTTCCAAAACTCGGCACTGATCAACAACCTAAGAATGACAAGATGCATCATCCACGAAATGCAGAACGATGCTATCATGTCCGCCGTGCAGAATATTATCATCGAAGAGTCCGAGTGAGTATACAGATACATTATTACGTTTCTAAGAGTATTTTAATTTTGGATAGTATTTATATAATGGTGATGCTCGTGCGATTTGTAGAACTTTAATATCATTGAGATGTTTATATTAACGAAAGTTTTGAAAAATATATTTTATACTTTCAAGTATATAATAAAAGTACATCATTTTATTTTTTGAGACCAAAATAATGCATCGTCGGGCGTGCCGTAATAATTTTAAGTCACTTAATATCATTATGATATTTGGAATGTAATCAACATGTGTTTTAAATTACTCGTTAGATTTATGTTTGATCGAATCGTTTTGTGTATAATTTTAAAACTATGGTTAAATTTATGCACTATAGAAAATAACACGCAAAATCATACCTAGTTGTAGTGCGTGTTGAAACACAAGGAAACTGTGTTTGTGTTGTAGAATATGATAATTTTTTTTTTTTTAATTTATTATAAAATATAACAAAAAAATTTAATATAATATGCAAGTTCTTTTTTTTTTTCTTATTGAACTTAAACCCGGTAACTAGAGCCATTAGCTGTTTTTAGGGGTTATGAACTATGGTAAAGGGTAAGGTTGGTACGGTAGGTTGTATTTTACGATTGTTACGGTTGATAGCAAACACATGTATGTGTGGCAAGGTTTTTAACCACTATGATCCCGAGTGGTCACCCATCCTGGAGCTAGTAGCTGTGGCCGTTACTTACTCTCAGTCGCATTCCACGACTGGTAGCAGCCAACGCGCCACTCCACGCCACTATGCAAATTCTTTTCATTAACCAAACTATGTGTTTATGTTTTGATGTATACTCGATATTGCCGTCTAAATAATTTAACATACGTATACACCATACACATACGATAATTGCAATGGTAGACAATATTATATGACGTATACATAAAAAAAAAAATAAAAACATTTTATACCGAACATTTTATTTAAAGCACTTATAAACATATTATACTAATAATATATTTTTATCAATTTAAAATTAAATTATAAAGATAGAATAAAAAGATTTAATTGCATTGAAACAATGTAAAAAAAAAAAAAAAAACGATTACATTTTAAATACCGGTCTAATAAAACACATCTGTAACTAATTGGATAATTCTGAGTAACCGTAAAGGAATAAAAAAAAATGAAAATGTCTAACAACCAAGAATTCCCTAATTATGCAATATCTTCTAATGACCATATTCCAATAACATTAATCATCGTAGCCATAATCACGTTCCTATAATGTAATACACGCGTGCAAAATTTGTGCGCAAAAAATAAACACGTGATGTATAGGCTTGTCGTATGAAAATAATTACCTTATTAAAATTTTAGCCTTTCCCGTAGCGTTAAAATGTTTATGGCTCACTAAGAAGATACCGTTACGGTGTTATCGCCACACGACCTGCATTTTCGTACACGTTTAATCATTGAAATACATGCATTTAAGTACCCAAATGGTTGCGGATCGTTATTACAGAAGGGTACCTACATACCATACAATATGATGACATGTGCCTGGCGAGAGATAACGCCTCGTGTATTATAAATATTATATTTTCGCGCAATCAAATCGATTGATCCGCGGTGATTGCACATTTATAATGACTTAGTGACTATTTCTACTTAGACCAAATTATAACATTATAATTTAATCAAATCAAAAACCGCATGTCGATTCACGCATATTATGTTCCTATTATTTTATACGACATTGACGACAAATCGATGTCGTTGTTTAGTTTTTACAACGAATTATTATAGTTTTATGCTCAGCATATCGATCGACGCATAAACCTTTGTTACAAAAGCACACCATAATATTTTTTATTAACTCATACACGCAAAACCGGATTAATTGATACAGCTCTTGACTCCGGCACTGCGACGCATTATTAAACACGTCATCACAGTTACAAAACGTAGGCGCATATCAAAGAGCTCTTCGCTTCCTGAATTCTAGAAATAACTGGAAACAGGAATTCGATAATAATTATCGCATCATATTATTGTCTGGTTTTAAGTTAATACAACAAAATATAATATACAGACTAATTCGCAAAACATGCTAAACGCATTTTTCTGAAAATTTTGACATATCAAAATTGAAATTTGATCGAGTATTTTTAAGTTATTTAACTTAGTTTACTAAGAATAATAAGTGTATATAATAATAGGTTTGAAAAACATGAAAGCTATTGAAATTTGAAAGTTTTAGCTAGTAATCGATATTAATATATCAATATTTATCATTTTCCAAATATAATAAATACTATGGATCCAATACTACATTCTATTAAATATTTATGCGTAAAACTACTTTTAAGGATTATTATTCTTAGTATAGACATTTTAATAATTAAAACTTTAAATAGATACACCAAAAGTTTCAAAAAAAATTATATTTGAAATAATTTACAGTGTAAAAGAGAGGGATTGGGCTTTTAAAACAGAACATAACCCATTAATTAATACAAACAATTTTAAGAATTTTAAAAATTGGTCTTTAAATATACTTTAAAATTCAAAAAATCAGAATTAGAATGAAAAAAATACGATCACACATACTTGGTGAATCATCTGAGTAGATGTTTATAGGATTATTAGTTAATATTTTAAGTGAACACACACATTCGCTCTATTTTGAAAATTACGAGTATTGACTTATTTAAACATTTTTCTTTAGAAGATGGAAGTTCCATGACATTTATTTTAAATGTACCTATTTGCATTTCTAAGAATATTAATGAACAAATAATAATAAAATATTTAACTGGGATTTTTTTTGTTAACAAAAATTTAGAGTTTAGAAAAACCCGTATCCTACTTATTCAGTGTTATTATTTATAGATGATTTTAAATGCGAAATGTTAAAAATAAAAATTCCGTATATTTATTTTACACTAAATCACATAATTTAAATGAAAAAACCCGCCTGGCGAAAGTTTTTCAGAATTTTTTTTTAAATTTCCATGTATTATCATCATACTTTTTTATCATTCACCTTGCACTTAATATTTTAATATTATATATAAATATCACCGTTTTTGTTAACCGGTATTCGACGCAGCGGACGACGAACATTTATTCTTTAGAATGCACACGAATCCGCCGGAAGACGTTCAAAAACTGAATTTTTCACAGAATTTTACACTTGGCTTAGCTGTACAGCGGCGTTTCACCATGAAAAACTGTATTTCGCTATTATTTCGGTATGTCCACGACGACGAGATAAAAGTACACATTATTAAGCATTCTTATATATAATTTTTTTTCGTCATTCTTTCTTTATTTCTTTCTCTTTTTTCCCATTCTTTAATTCAACAACGTCACGGGACAATAAAAACTAAGTAGCAACTTTTTAATTTAAAAACCGAACTACCCTACGGTACAACTGTTGTGCGGCGGAATAAATGAGACGAATTCCACGACTGTTCTCGTCCTCATTGTCGTCGTTACACGCCGAGTCAACAAATAACACTACATTTTTCAACTCGGTGGCATGTACGCTACGACGGTGGAACCTTCGCCCAAAACGTCAACGTTACTCAACCAAATGCCAATTTTCCTTATATATTATATAATATAATGTTGCCTTCAACTCGTATGTGGTTTTCAAAAAAAATGCCGAAACTCTTCCTTTTAACAAAAACTTTTCCCTACAACGAAATTGTTTCAAACTATACGCATATGCATAATAATGTATTGTACCTATATATTATTTACGAAAATTTAATCTAATATACAGTAAATTACAATATTAATTGGCTTTTATTATATTTTTATTTTTTAGTTAATTTCGTTACATCTCCATTTTTGACTTGTCACTGTACTGTAATAATTAAGTCATTTTTCACCACATTATATAATATAATCGTAGCCTCACATCTATATGAATGATGTTTTTCATATCTATTTATTTAATATATATTATAGCAAGATAACGATAAGTTTTAATATACATCACATAGTACAAGGGTGATCGGGTCAAATCCGAGTATACAGAACTAGACAAAGTATATCTTAACGAAACAATTTTAGTTGCATTTATTCGAATGTTAAAAAGCGTTAACGGAGAATTCGTAGTTATAAACTGCTAAAAATGTGCGCAGTCTTAACTTTTAAAAATAACTAAGTTGCTTAATTGAAGTCTTGATAAGACACCACATCCGCATAGCCGCAAGTATTATCTATGCCTTACATACATACAACATAAAAAAATTTTGTTCAGCAAAATTAATTTTATGTCGTTAGCTTTAATATTAGAGTAAATTTACCCATTGTCAAACTTAAAGGTAAAAATTTTATCTAGATTATTGCATAGGCTTTTATTGATATTTAAACTTCAAACTAAGTTATAGCTACTTATGTAAATTATAAAGTATTAAAACGCTTATAACTCGTTTAAAAATTATAGTTTTAATAAAATCCTAAACGATAGCCTAGATAAAAATTCTTACCTTTAAGTTTGATAATAGGTAAATGTACTCAAATATTAAAGTTAATAACATAAAATAGATTCTGCTGAACGGAAATTTGCAAGGTTGTATGTATATAAGATGAAGATAACACATGCGGGTATGGCGTCCTTTCAACTCTTACTAAATAAGAGGGTAAGTATATGATAAGGGTTTGAACTATGAAAATTGTGGTTTTGACTATCCACAGTTCATATAATACGGTAATTAACTACAAATTCTTAATCAAACTAAACATAAAATTAGGGCAAAATGAAATTTAATAAGAATTGCATACGTTTATAACAACGAAAATTACATCTGTTGAAACCACTGAGCACTGACGCTTACGTCATTCTACATAGTAAACACAACATACCTATATGATATTATGTACAAGTACAGTAGTTCGAAATCAGTTCTTCGATTACCTCCAGGCAAAAACGTAGGATGCGTATTTACAGTTTCTAGTCATACATACATCGTGGTCATCAGCGGCGGCGACGTTAAGAGTCGTTTAATATATTATTATTAT